AATTTTTCTCATTTTAAAGATGGTAACACTGGAAGTTATATGTACAGCTATTTGACACATTGGGTAGAAAACATAGAAAGTCTAAATGTTAAAGAAAAATAACATAAAATTCATGCATATCATGAGTTGAAATAATAAAACTAAATAATGAAGAGAGACAAGGGATCATGTTCCTTGTCTGGAAAACTCCTACAAGTCTGCCAGCCCCAGCTGAAAAACCCACCCTCTCTCAGTAAAACCTCATCAGCTGTCTTGAGATAATATCAGATCCTCCATTGTCTTTGCCCACACATCTCTCTATAATAGCATTTTGTTTTCTTAGAAATGGTATTCTTATACATCTTAGCCTCTAAACTGTGGGTGATTTGGGGTGAATAGCCAGGTCTTACTCTTTTATACAATGACTGGTACAACAATTGCCATGCAAGGGTTTGAATTAGCAAAGCCTTGTGAGTAGCAGCAATAAAAAAAATCTAAAGTTTACTTGCTTTTATACTGGAAACCACAGAAAATGATGGTCTGCTACAAGCAGCTCTCATAACCAAAGAAAAAATACAAATATAGGAAGGTATCAGTCAGAAGGAATCAAGAAGAAATAAACTTCAGAAACTAAAACAACTGCAATAATGCAAATTAGGATCTTCCACTAGATTTATTTGACAAGATGGGGGCCTGCAGAATTTCCAGGAGGGTGAGCCATGTCTCCTTTGGTTTTGGTTAGACTGTTAAAAATATCCTTTTTTTTCTTAAAGCTACTTTAATAAGACCCAAGTTTGAATACATTTCTGCTTTTTCTTCTCTGTGAAATCTGCAAAAGTAAATATTTGAATATTCTGGCTCAAGACAGATATTGAAAGGTAGATCAGGGATCATCCATCTTGTAGGAACATACACAATCTCATTTTTCCACTGAGAATTTTAAGACACACAGCAGAAGACCCTGTTGATTGACATTACTGTTGAGCATAAGGCCAGTGGGACCCTTCCTTTAGCACTCAACACTCTAACCTCCCCCATCTGCTCCTGTCCACTGGAAGCAAAGGTTATGTCTACCTAGAGCCTGTGTCCCCACTTTTAGACCATACCTCAACTATGTGGAAGCCAAAATTTCTTCACGTGACCCCAATCCTGTTTCTATGGCCAAAACAGCCTCACCTGGGTTGACCCTTCTCTCAGAAGACTAAGTTATAGCTGCAGGATAGCCAAGAAGTAGTTCCTAATGAGGTGTGGTCAGGTAAACATGCTTCCACACCAAGGTGACGATGTCACCTGACCAGTTCTGACGATGCTGTACTGAAGGCATGAGGTACCGGAAGATGCAGAGCAGGCTGATGCCAGCTCCAAGCCGCCATGTTATGTTCCACAGCTTCCCCTCAGCTGTACAACTGAAAACTCAAATCTTGCCTTCCGGGTCATTATTAGAAATTTTGTTTTCTAAAATAAAGGAAGATAGGATACATTTTACTTAATAGTTGGTTGTCCAGATTTCTGACTTTCATACTGGGGCAGGTATAGAATCTAGACTCCGTTTATGCTCTGGCTCGGGACACCAGTGATGTTAGCCATGAGTCATGACAGTAGTCAGTAAATATAATCAAGAAAGAAGATGATAAAAACTCATAGAAGACTGTTAGATGAAACGGTTTTCTCTTCCCAAACCGTGGTACATGGGATGAGAGACGATCTCAGAGTCTGCCCAAGAGCTATGATCCAAAATAAATGTTTATTAAACACTTGCGGATGAGTTAATGAAGAACAAACATGTTCACTGCTGTTTGCATCCATAAATAGCACTGTGTATATGCTATAACTTGTGGGATGCAAGGAGGCTCGGCATGGTCAGCCCCACCCCCAACTCTACCCAGCAGAGTCTGCATACCGAGTTATTTTCTTCCCTGGTCACACTGGTTCTCTGGATCCCTCACTGCTTGACTTCTCAGCATTGTCTTTGCCCAGTTTCATCATTCTTCCTCATCCTAATCTAATAGTAGCCAATACCAGTAACTCCTAGTCCCTAGAAATCCCCAGTTCCTGTGAGAATCATCACATCACTCATTACAGTGGTGCTGGGAATCCCTTTTTCCAGTGAGATTTGGGCGTGATTGTGTTTACATTCCTATAGCCTCTAGCACAGAGATTCACACCCACCAGCATGGAGGAGAATTGATTGAATCTTCATTGAATGGATTCTGGGTGTGGTAGAACTATTTTAAGACAGGTTTGTTTGTTTTTTGTTTGTTTGTTTGTCTGTCTGTCCCAGAATTGGTGCATGAATGCTTTTTGCTAAGGGCATAGGTTCTGGCATCAGGCTGTCTGAATTTTTACCCTTGCTCTGCTATTTCCTATGTATATTATCTCAAGCAAATCATTCTGTTTCTTTCTGATACCCAAAACAACACATTTTTACCTAAAAGTCGTGATACATTGATAGAGAATAGAATCAATATCATGGGCCAAAAGTGCATTTTTGTTTTTTAAAATACAATAACATAGCAAAGGGTAGGTGATCAGAATGCATAGTGCCTGGTTAGGACTTACTTCCAAGACAATTTTTTTGTAAGATTTCCTTTAAGTATTTACTTATTATTTATTTTTAAATAACAAAATATTTTATTACCTATAAAATCAGAGCACAATAATATTGATTGTCAAAATTGATGACATTTGTATAAAGCTCATAAATGGGGAAATAGTGCAGGATTATGTTTTTGTTTTTCAAAAACATTTTTTGTGCATTAAACTAGATGATGTGAAGTAATTTTCTGTCTCCATTTACTAGACATATAACAAAGGAACACAGTCACTCCATGTGCTTAAGCATCCAATTCTTGTTTTGTCAATGCTGTTCTCATAAATAATCATAAAAGTATATGACCTCAATCAGGGAAGTAGGATAAGTAGATGAAGGGAAATTGTCTTTTCAATTGCATAACTGTTAAAGGGCTAACTTTAAATATCGCTGAATTTCAAGATTATACTTATAATGTTCCAAACAATTGTACAAATGAAACATTATGCAAGAGATGGCAGCAATTATAAAGTAAGATTTGGTGAATTAATTAATAAAAATGATGAATTATGTTGTATATCTGTCAGGTGCCAGGTGCTACTTTCATACTGAGCCTGTTTCAGGCATCACTTCTACTAGACACAGCCTTTCCTTTGATAGTTGTATATGTTGGATTTCCTGCCTTCCAAGGTATGAAACAAAGGTAGTGTAAACATTTTTCCTTTTATTGAAAATAGATTTTTTTCTCATATAAATGTCCTGATTAATGGTTTTCTCACCCTTTACTCCTCTTAGTTCCACATTTCCCCTCCCATCTGGGTCCACTCCCTTTCTGTTCACATATTTTAATAGGCAATGGGCTGTGATAGAAAGTATTTTATAGTGAGTTACTCTTAAATACTGTTTGAATGCCATGCTGTATAGAATGACCTTGGAACTGGAACCATCTTCTACATATCTTCTTTATATGGTGAACACATACAGTGTAGTTAAGTGAGTTAACAAAAGCTTCTTGAATAGCTACATGTGAACTGGCTCATTACATGAGATTCTTGCCTATGGTCAAGTACCCTTGCTTAGGATGGTGTATGTTCACCATCACATAGCACATTTCAACATGAATCAAGATGAAGAGGGCTGACTGAAGGGTAGGTGGAAAGTTGAATTGACTGGGAAACTCCATTGTTCAAGTGTGCTCATTGTTGTTGACAAAAGCCCTTTGGAAAGTTGAAACTGAATACTATTTCCTTGCTTTTCCCCCTCTGCCCTGTACACACACTGATAAGTTTTAGGCATAGCAAAGAGCATAGGAAGGATATGAGCTGGCAGTGAGTTTTCATTCAAGAAAAATAAGGGTAACTTTGTTTTGAGAAGAAATGTCATGTATGAATTGCATAGACTCATAACCTTTAAGCAGGGCGTGCTCTCTCATGCTTGATGATGACCTTTAGGTATAATTTCTCTAAACGTTTTATTATATTTAGAAATTGATTTTCAAGTTAGACTTCTATCATGGGTGCATATATATTATTAAAAACTTCTCTACTTTAGAGTACCCAAGTCACTGAAAGAGTTTGCGTTTGTGATTAAAAAAAAAATGTTGGTAGAGAAAATGAGTAGAAAGCATAATCAAGAGGTTGTTAAAATTTGTGAATGACTTTAATTTGGGAAATTGAAAGTCATTGGTGGTGCCTCATGTGGCTTTTGTAAAGAACCTCGCAGAGAGTAAGCCCTGAAGAAATGTTAATTGAATCACATCTGTGAAATTCATAAGTAAAGTGATCATAGATGCTATAAAGATAGTTAAACTATATGGAGCACTTGTGATGTGCCTGCAGCAAGCTGAGCACATTGCAAGCCTTTCCGCATTTAACCTCAGGGGACTGCAGAGGTTGACAGACCGCATTAGACCGTTACACACATGAAACGCTGAGGCTTAACAGCTAGTAAGTACAGGAATGGGATGTGGGTTCCGAGGTGGGAAGTAAAAGTCAGTATTGGATCCAGTTCTAACATCTTAGGGGAAATTCCTTGGGCTACTTTCCTTTTACTAGAGCCTTCTGTCCCCACCTACTGTGGCCTCACCAGAATTATTTTCCCAGTTATTTTTAGAGTTTTGAGAAACTGGATGTGCATTTCAGAGAGACAGAAAAAGGTAGACTGACATGTATCTGCCTACAGGAGCCACTTGCTGGGAGTAGAGGTTGGAGGAGGTGAGGGTTGCAACTGTGAGATTTGAGGGGGTGACTCGGGCTAAGACACTGATCTACTTAAAGAGGTCTCTCTCCCTCCTATTCAATGGGCCCTGACACCTCTGTGCCCTGGATCTGCCAGTCATGTTTCTCCTTTTTGGAAAGAGTCATTTCAGAGAGAATAGCCTGAGAATAGTCTTTGTGGAGAATAGCCTGGCTCAGCTTGACCTGCTGGCTGATGTAAGGGCAGGTGGAGACCTGTGAGATGACTTTATGCAGAATGATCCATTACACAAGGGTCTTGATGATGCACTTCCAATAGATCCTTCTGACCCTCCACTGTGGACTCTCCATTCCACAAGGGTAGTAATGGCGAGCTAGACAGCCAAGCAAATGATGGAGGGGAGTGGAAGGAAAGCTCAGATAGTAGGAAAGAAATTGTTTGAGGCCATGATAGGGAAGTTGGCCAAATTATTCTCTTCAAGATGTCTTGGCTCCAATCAATGCCTGTTTTCCACATTTAATTTTACATTTTCAGACATTCTTTTTCCTTAAAGAATACATTGTCTTTTCTTCTGAGTAATGTGTTTAAGTCTTCACTTAAGACAGAATTCTGACATAAGACAGAATTAAAGCCACAGACACCACTCCATGGGCTTCTATGAATGATGATCTCAGGATGTCTGTCACATAGAACTTGTCAAAGAGGAAGACAGGTTTGTGCTTTTTCCAGATGATTCCTGGGATCTGTAAAACTGTCATAATACCTGTACACAGTTTGTAGAGAAGTAAAAAAAAAAAAAAAAAACTGCCTTGTGACCTTTTGCTTTCTTACTCTTCATAGTAGAGTTCTGTGGCCATGTAAATTTTGTCCAAACTCCATGTATAAACCCACCATTTGAGGCTCTGAGGGAGTACAAAAAAAAAAAAAAAAAAAAAAAAAACACTTTGGCTCCCACTGCGCAAGGCCTTTTTGTTTTAGAAAGAGAAGGTGGATCCTCAGCTGGGAAGGAACATAGAAAAAACAGATGCATAGGGCAGAGGGAAGAAATATCCCCAGTTTGTGATGTAAGACACCTTCAGCAGGTGACTGAACAATCAAGCTGGGGATCTGTGTTGGCAGGGTCAGGAAAGCAGGGAGCATTTCAACAAAGGGCAGCTGGAAGGAGTCAGCACCACACTGCTCACTGTGTTAGCATTAGAATCAGTCTCCTCTTTCTAGGGAGTCCACCTTGTAACTGGAGTCTCAGAACACCAGTATCTGCACCGGACTTTAAAGTCTGTCCAATCCCATAGCTAAATTTAATTCAAACATCAAGAAAAGGACAATATTGTTAGTCCTCCACTTCTCCGATGGTACAATAGAGGCCAAGGTTGTTAACTCTGAGTGACATAGGACTAGCTACTTCCCAAATCATGGGTCATTTCTATTGTTTGGAAACAGGCAGATAAAAAAGGTTTCTAGCCAATTAGACTATGCCTATCCATGTGAATCCAAGCTAAAAGGGTCTCACTTCTCTAGACACCACAAGCTAACTTCAATATAAATAGATATTTCTGCTGTGGTTATTTTATATCCAAGACTTTTTAAAGTATTCGCCCACTGAAGATTCTATCCCTACTTAGTGCCAAACTATATGAGTGCCAAATTCTTATTTTGACACCAAAGATGAATATTTTATCTAGGCAGCAGGATGATTGGGAAAGGTAATTCACTATCTTGGTTGCCCTACTTAAGAAGAGATTCTTTATACTTAAAATTAAAAATAGCTGGATTTTGCAGCAAAAGCCTAATGCCACACACCCACTGTAAAAAGTCTACCAGCTCAGACCCCAAGCCCTGCATTCTCTACTATCTCTGCTTTGTTATAGGTTCCATGCCCAACCTCAAAGATTATTGATGAAAAAATAATTTTCCTTTAGGTTCATTTTTAATATCCACAAGTATATGGAATTTTCACTGTGAGGAAAAATGACAGGTAACATATATGTGTAAATTCATGTTTTAGAGAACATTTGTTCTAGTTTAATACATAGAAGAATCATAAATGAATGTTTTCCATGTATAAATGTTGCTACTCAGAATTAGAAACAGTGAATGACTTGCTCAGAATTTAGCAGCCAGTTGCTGTCAGATCTTGGACCAGAATCCAATTCTCTGGATAGTTCATTGAGTGTCTCTTAAATATTCCACAATGATTCCTTCTCTGATGGGAAATTCTAATGGAATAATTTACTTTATAAACAAGCAATGAAGCTCTTTTAATTCATACATTTACTCACTCATCCAATAAGTATTTTCTGAGCCCTAAGCATATGCTCTAATCTAGACACCAAGAATGCAGCAATTAATAAGTGGATGAGGACTATACTATACTACTGAAATCTATGTAAATATGCATACTTCTATGCCTATGTATATTATTTGTATGTCCACTTGTGATGGATATTAATAAAATATTTCTAACTCTGCATGGCTGAAAGAATGAAATTTTCTTATTCCTGTATACTAGGAGAGGATAAGACTTCATCATGGATATTTTAGTTTTATGGCTTTAGTAGGAAACCACTGTTTCCAAATGTTCACACTAATGAAGATGAGTGACATGGATATGGATCCATATCCATATCCATAAGCTAAAATATGGCTTTGTGATAAAATTATTAACATTGAGTCTCAGAGACTAAGAACAACATGTTGAGGACATTTTAACAAAGCCAACAAGAAACCAAGCAAAACTAAACAAGATAACAATTGGGGCCATATGTGTATGAGGAAAAGCTATTTTTTAGAATTAAAAACACAAATTGGGGAGGCAGAGGTTAGTACAGAGGAAAACATCCAGGGCTATTTTAATTGTATTAGCAATGTTCTAGTGCCTAGAATATGTAGTGATTTCAGGGTTGTCCATTTTACCATTATGATTTAAAGCTTTTTAAGTCAAGCATAGATATCAAATGTTATAAGATAGAATTCCAATGCAGGAAGAATGATGAGAGTAACAGCAACTACATTGCTTATACCACAAAGTGGCATTGGTTTGTGATGGGGAATGTATTGTGTATGTTTATCTTATTGATTGTTAAATAAAATACTGTTTGGCCAATGAGACAGCAAGTAGGCGGGACTAGGAGTCAAAGAGGATTCTGGGAAATGTAGTAGAGAAGTGCTGATCCAGGCAGGAAGTGACATAGCAAGGAGACTTATATTTAAGTGAAGGAGAAACAGGAAGGGCCCTCTTTTCCCCTCCGCTCCTGCTCCAGCGGCACAGTGTGATCCACCAGCAAGGAGGGACACCAATAAGATAAGTCTTATAAAATATATAGGTTTATGATAATTAAGACTGAGCTAACAGATGAGAATCCTAGTCATTGGCCAAGCAGCTTTGAACCTAATACAAGTTTCTGTGTATTCATTTGGGCCTAACTCGGGTTGGCAGCTGGCGTAAAGCTCACACGTGGCGGTGGGGCTCGGGCGGCTTTTGGCAGAAAGATTTATCGTAACAGGTTTGTACAGCCAAACCATCTCATCAAAACCTACAGTTGATAAGGGATGAATTACCACAGGATATAAAAAGAGAGGTTAGAGACAGTTCTATGGGCAGAGCCAACATCTGGGTAAAATAGCAGGTATGTGATTTACTTGCTATCTAGGGTCTTTGATCCTTGACAAACCAATACATAAGGTTGTGATGGTAATAACTGCCTGTCTTAGGGTTTCTGTTGCTGTGAAGAGATACTATGACCACAGCAACTCTTATAAAGTGAAACATTTAATTGTCATAGGTTTCAGTTTCAGAGATTTAGTTCATTATCATCATGGTGGGACATGGTGGCGTACAGGCAGGTGTGGTGCTGGAGAAAGAGCTGAGAGTTCTATATCTTCATCTACAGGCAACAGGAAGTGAACTATGACACTGGGCATAGCTTGAGCATAAGATTTCAAAGCCCACCGCAACAGTGACCACTCTCTCCAGCAAAACCATACCTCCTAACAGTTCCACTCCCTTTGGGGGCCATTTTCTTTCAAACAACCACACTACCATACAGAATTAAGAAATGTAATAATGTACTAGAACTATCATGATAGACTGAATTTGTAAATGATACAAATATCCTTAAAGCTTCTATTCAATCCCACAATCCCATAAATCAAGCACTCAATGTGCAATCATCCATTTGATAAACATATTGAATATTTGTTCAGTGACAAGATGCTAATATTCTTGAGGCTGTGATGTGTCCCAGTAAGAAGAAGGTCTAGTCTCAGCCCTGCGGGAACTGAAGACATTTTCCCCTTTCATTTGTAAATATGAATCTTATTGAACCATATGTGATTAACTCCCATAATACAGAACAAAAAAAGTAAGATGGGAGGGCTGGGAGAGGCCAATTCTAACTATAATGTTACATGATACACTTCCTATAGAAGGTGGCATGCGTGGGTTAATTCTTAAGGGTAGGATTTCTAAAGGACAGTGACATCCCAGAGAGGGGAAAGGGTGAACGAGGTTTTAAGAAACAAAAGCCCATCTCCCTGCGTCCTCACCATCATAGGAACCTCTGACATTTGCTTATGTAGACATGTGGCCTTATGAGTGTTCTCCTTTAAGTCTGCTCATCCCAAGTACCATGAGATGGATTAAGACATGATGATGCCTTGAGGACACTAAGCTGCACTGGGTCTCTAGTGAGGGTCCAGGAAATGAATTAATAGTGGAAAGGAAGATTCATGTGAATTTTCCAGATTGAAAAACAAAAACAAACAAAAAACTTCACACAGGATTTAAATGAGTAAACTGTACTTATTATATAGGAGTCAGTATGTTTGTCCATCAGTTGCCATTTCCCTTAAATCCTGTGTTTTCTGTTTTGCAAAGTAAAACAATTAGTAATTTAATTTGGAAAGAAAATGTGCACAGAGAGAGAGAGAGAGAGAGAGAGAGAGAGAGAGAGAGAACACAAAACTTGTTCTTCTAAGCTGATGTGTAATTTGTGATCTGGTTGCCAAAAATGATAAAAATAAACAAAAATCTGACAAATACAGTTACAGTTGAAGTTTTAAAGACTCTTTTTCATGAATGACCTTTTAAAACCCAAAGTCATAGGTACATTGCAACAAGTCCAATGCTAATTTTGTAAATATTGAATGCTCTGGAAACATCTTTTCCCTAGTTTTGAATTTTTTTTCTCATAACTCTATTTCCAAATTATCTGAGATGTCAATCTGACTTTCATGCAAGCCAGTTCAAAGGCTGAACTCAGATAGTAAATTCAGAATATATTATTTGTATTACAAACCACAGGAAGATTATTCCCCCATATAAGATCATTTGTAGAAAAAATATTCCAAGATAGTCTGT